TGAGATAGAAAGAGATGGAAATAGATGGAGATGTTTCAAGTAGCGACAGATTGGCGCGCACATGTCGAGATGCGATGTGCTTTTTGCTAACATCTATATAGTGATGTGTCTTATATATATCGATAGTTTTATACGCTTATACATTTCGATGATTTTATTTTTATTATTTTAATATTAATTTTATTATATTTTTGATTTTTATTCGATAAAAAAATACTCAAAATATATTTTTTTTGTATGAATATTATTATATGAAATATATATTGTTTTTATATTAAATATCCAACACTATGTTTCAAAAGGGGTGCCGCGGGCGGAGCAGCACTTGTTTGTCCGATTTAATTTCATTTATCAACGCATTACTTACTCAGAGAGAATTACTTAACGGATTACTCGACTTTGCCCGCCTTTTTTTATATGTAAATACGGCACGAATTTAGAATTTAAATTCGACATATACGACGTAGGTTTCATTGATATTTTTTTTACATACGCCGTGTACACAAGCTCGTGTATTTTATGTCGGAATTTTGAACTGTAAATATATATTGCAAGTAATAGTATAAAAATAAGTTTTTTTTTTCTATATGTATATTGCGTATAAAAATATATGTTCATTCATTTCAATTGTACCATTATATCGCCATAATGTTGTATTCAATGGGGCGTTGTTGTATTTGTTCAAAATAAAATCTGCATATTTTTGACGTGTCTATTAAAATGCAACATGAAGGGCATTACACACGCCCGGTTCGTGTTATAAAAAAAAAAAAATGATTGATTGAATTAAATAAAATATTATATCGAATTTATATTTATAGCATTCTAATTTTAAATTATTTTCTTAAGATTTTTTTTTTGTTTAGAATATTCTTCCATATTAAATAAAGCCTTTTTTATATGCTATGTTTATTCAATAATTAATAGTAATTTGTAATTAATATATACTAGTCAAAACAATATAAGGGCCACTTGTTTATTTTGACGTTTGAAGCGATCTAATAAATTTTAAGAGTTAAGTTTTTTTATGGCGTTACATTAAGTGTTGAAAAACATTATGAGAGTATATCACTTACTTAATTTTTGAAGTGGGTCGATTATGAATTTTTTTTTCGAAGTCACTAAAAATTACTCTATTTGAAGTCGACTTTTGAAGGCATTTAAACTGTCGAGTTCTTGGTGAACTGCAGGAACTCTCTTTGTTAGTGCGTGATTATCATTTTTAAAGGACAATGCCGAGGATTCGAAGACATATGAACATACAGATCACAACTATGGCCATAACGCTGATTCAACAGGGCCATTCGCAGCGTTCTGTAGTTCTGCAGCTGGGTTTTTCACGGAAAGCAATCCAGAATGCTTGGATTAGGTTTCAAGAGACTGGGAGAGTTACCAGAAGACTAGGATCAAGCAGGAGTTGAGCAACCACAGCACAGGAAGACCGCTACATACGGTTAACTGCGCGTAGAGAGCGAGTCGTCACCGCCCGTTCCTTACAAAACCGCTCGCGCCAAGCGACGGGCACCCGCGTAAGTGACCAAACGATTAGGAATCGGTTGCATGAAGACCAACAGTTCTCTAGACGACGAGTAGTGCGTATTCCACTGACATCCGCACATCGTGCAAGGCGATTAACGTTCACTAGGCAGCACCAGGCCTGGAACATTGATGACTGGAGCAAGGTATTGTTCACAGATAAGTCCAAAGTTAATTTTTTTTAGTGATGATCGTCGCATTAGAGTTTGTAGAAGAGAAGGAGAGCGATTTTCGGATGCTTGCATACACGAAAGTGACAGATTCGGGGGTCCCAACGAAAAGTAGGGCGGAATCTCACTATCAGGTCGAACCAAGCTCGTAATTCTTAACGAAGGCACGGTAACGGCTCAACGGTACATTGAGCAGGTCATAAGACTCCACGTGTTGTCATTTTCATAGAGAATTGGTGCAGGATTCCAATTAATGCATGACAATGCCCGCGCTCATACAGCTAGAGCTACTGCCGAAGCACTAGAAGAAGCTAGTGTACAGGTGCTTCCGTGGCCCGCCAATAGCCCGGACCTTAACCCTATTAAGCACATGTGGGATTTATTAAAAAAAAGCGTTTGTGATACAAATCAAACGGTAACTAATGAACGACAGCTCATCAACGTGCTAAAGACAAGCTGGGAACAAATCCCTCTGGAGACAATATGACACCTGGTGGAGAGTATGCCTTCGAGGCTTGAAGAATGTTTTCGAAAAAGGAGAGGACACACACGTTACTGAAAAAAATAAAAATTTCAACAAATGTTCAGTTTTTTTTAAATTAGACACTTTTTTCATATTGTGCATTTTAGGTTAAAAAGTCAATTTTTCCAAAAAAAAAGAAAGGGATGTTAATTTTAGAGTAATAAAACAATATCTGCTGCTCTTTACATTAAAAATTGATTAAATAATTTAATCTAATCATTTTCATATCCCTAAATCCCATATTTCTTTTAATCCACTAAAAAAACATGGTGGCCCTTATTTTATTTTGACTAGTGTACAAGGAATGCCTCAATAGAAAGGCAGTAGAATTTCGTAATAGCAACACTTAAAGTGCACCAAAGTAATGTCATTAAATATATCAAGAATAAAACTGGTAAAGTTTATCAAAAACAAATTAAGAAACGTGGAACATTTTAAATGGACTATAAATTTTTGTTAGCTAACGTCTTGTGTTGCCAGTATTGGTTCTTTAAATATATATTTTTATATGTAAGAGAATATATATTATATAGTCCCTTGTATTATTATTAATATTAATTAGATTTTGTTGTTTTAGGTTTACGTTCAATGAAATTTTAGCAAGAAATATATTTAATATATTTTAATCTTAAAGAAAATAGATAAAATTACCCATAAAATGGGTATTTTATTTTAATATGTTAACACTGAATGCGCAAGCGGCTCTGTTAGCTCGACTTCCATTAGCGCGTTTGAATATAGAACAGCTAGTATTGGAGGACGTCAGTAATTAATCATTGGCGCCTGAACTTTGTTTTCTATCTTTATTTTATATACTGGCAATACCACCGTAATGCATTATCGCAATTAATCATATTAATAATAATTTCTAAATGTATTCCGTTCCGATTAATATAAAATTAATTTTAGCTTCGTCCAAAAAGGTTTAGTAAAAAACGACATACCAACATGGCGCCGTTTAAGAGCTGGAAATTCGAAATTGGAATCACTAAATCAGCCCAACGATTGGTCATTCAGACGTAACCTGGTCGTATACAAAATTATCATTCGATATATGATTATTTTTGAACCTTATTGCTATAGTAATAAAGGTTAATATGTACGCATATATAATTATGTCGGTATGTACACGATAATATTGGACCTCCTTGCAGAGTGACGGGTTAAGATAGCGTTATCTTAAATATTTCTTGCCTGGACTCCGTCTTTCTAGACATCATTTCGTTGAGAATTTATATGACCCAAATAATTTATATTACACAAATGTAACTTTAACTTGGTTTTTTTATTTATTTAAGTCGACTGTTGAATGCATATGGATGTTTTTGAATGGATAATGTTCTTATAAACGCGAAAATTTTGTATGAACATTTGTTACTGTTTTATGGAAAAATTACTATATACATATACAATTTAAAAATTCATATTGTTTCTACGAGATTTCCCTTATATTTTGTATGAAAACACGTGACATCCTTACTAATATTATAAATGCGAAAGTAACTCTGTCTGTCTGTTACGCTTTAACGCCTAAAGCACTGAACTGATTTTAATGAAATTTGATACAGAGATAAAGTTGACCTTGAGAAAGAACATAGGATAGTTTTCATCCCAGACTTTTGAAAGGTTCTCTTGGAAACGCGATATAATCGAACTCCACGCGGGCGAAGCTGCAGGCGGAAAGCTACTAGACTATATATGTAATTTTAAGTAGTCTCTTTCAAACCAAAATAAAGTGAAGGTAATATAAATATGTGTGTGAAGAGTTTTTATATTCCAAGCTTCAGCAAACCGTGAAGAGCCACTCGTGGAATAAATATCACGATATTGTTTGTCTTGGCTTCATTTCCACAGCGAGCCCCCGACTGTAAATAATGTAACCCTTATCATTACACAAGGAATCTTCAAATTAAATAATATTGACTCAGTTATAATTGGTTCCATGAGATTGCAAACACTTGGGAGTTTGTACTTTCATTTTTTTTTTAATAAAGCCGTACCTACTTACGTCTTTGATATTTGCAGTTCTATTTTCGGAATTTTGAATTTCGAACGCCGATTTGCTATGAGGAAATCTCTTATAATTTTCTAATGCAATTTGCAAATTTACTCTTTGAATTTCGAATACGTGTTTGTATTTTTTTCATTTTTGCAACTAATTTCTGAATTTCGAATTTCGAACGCCGATTGAAAAAAGAATTGCACTGATAATAAATGAATATTTTCTAATTTCATTTAATGTGTTAATTTTACTTGATATTTAGATATATATATATGAAATAAAAAAGTATATTGTACTAAAAAAATATGTATTTTTTTTCTTTGTCAAATTAATTTAGAATTATGTATCATAATATTGTGGCTTTCACGTATGTTTTGTTTGGACGAATGTCAACACACGAGTATTTGTTTTCCATTCGGCTTTGCTCGTTCCAGTGAAGGGGTGCTGTTTCAATTAATCGCTTTAATAAGACATCGCGTACCTCTGAATAATTTAATTATGAGGACCTCGTTAGAAGTAAATCTACCATGAAGTAAATTTTATATATTTTTTTTAAGTTTTTTTGTCCTTCAGAACAAGTTACAAGTCAAAATTTCATCATCACTTAGTTTAAGTTATATCAATATAAGCATAATGCTTTGAAGAAAATATTTTATTACATATATCATGCAAGCAAAATTATATGGAAATCTCTAAGTTGGTTTTATAAAAAAATCATAATATGGAATTTTAAATTGTAGCGTATTGATATATATATTTTTTGTTCTAGTTATCTCTGTCTGAATGGTTGTATAGCGAATGCTGAACACGCGGGCGAGGCTCGTGAGAGTATTCAAACATTACTCACAGTATGCGCGGATCTTTGTGGACCCTTTGTAGCTGATGTTGTAAGTTTACCACTACTTTTAATATATACAAGCAAAACCGATGAATAATATATGTTTTTTTCCAAATGTATGAGATGGAAATCATTTGTGTATTTGGAAATTTGTGGAAGATTCTAGAATTATGTGTTAATATCCAAATATAGTATAGAAGTTGAGGAAAATTATAGAATTAAGTGTTAATTTCCAAATATATTGTAAAGAAGTTATTTGCAATTTTAGATGTTTGTGGAAGATTCTAGATTCTCTTTTTATCGTACGCAAGACACTATAGACATTCCCTCTAAATAATCTTCCATAATAGTATTCTTTTAGGACACTCGTACGAATAACTATAATAGTTTTTATTTCACAGGGCAATGACAAAATGTATGCCAAACAAGCTCTTCGTACAGCACTCGGTAAAGGCGTTTGTGGTTCACGAGCTGAGTTCTGTATGCTATTCGCTAAAGGAGCCTCTCTTGGAGAGTGCGGGGACTTCGTTAAGGCAGCTAGAACAGCACATTTGTTGAGAAGCATCGCTGAAATGGACCATCTGATTGTACAGGTTAGTAAACTAGATTTAAATGAAACTAATATTTTCGGATTTTACTTCGCGTTTTATTTTAGAAACTACATACTCCCGACGTTTCGGCTACTTTTCAGCAACCGTGATCACGGGCAGACGAGATGTGAGTGTCTGTCAGTTGGTCTGGTCATTTTATCTCCTACCGCCATCGATTTCTTAATCTTAGATCTCATTATGTTAAACTAGATTTAATCACTAAGAAATTACCTGAAAATAGGACTAAGTTTCTAGTGATAAAAGTTAAGGTAGGTTTTGTTTCTATATGAGCATTTTATGCATATTTGATTTTAAAAGACTAATTATCCAGTAGTTTCTATTTTATTTTGTGACATAGAATATTTTTTTATCGGAAGTTTTAAAATATTATAATGAATACGAATGCTTATAAACATTCTGAATTTTCGCGAAACTAAGTAATATGTTTTGATTTGAGACTATATCTATATAAATAATTATAAGGAATCAAATACTATGTGTTTTATATTAAAACAATAATAGAGCCTTAAAGTCAATGGTGGCCTAATGGTTAGAGGGCCCGCCTCTCGTTGCCTTGAGTGCGGGTTCGATCCTGGCCCGGGCAAGTACCAATGTGATTTTTCCGAGTCATATGTACTTTCTAAGAATATTTAGACATCACTGATTAATGCTGATTCCCAAAAGAGGGTTGATGTCAGGCAGGCGGCCGGTCGTAAAAAACAATTAGCCAAAACTATACACAACCAGTAAGGCAGACCCTGGCTATAGCCGGGAAATTGCCAGGTAGAAGAAGAATAATAGAGCCTTAAATCCAATTGACCAAATCCAATAGTATAATAAACAGTAGATTTATTCAGGACACAAGTCGTTAGATATATTTGTACAGTCTTTAATTACCGACTGTATCATTACAGTTTGTTTGTCAGCAAACAGGGGGCTTTTTGATAATGTCAGCTTTTTATACGCATCTGTTTGTAATGGACCAATAATGGTGTTGCTATTGAGATACCTTTTGTGGGTAGTCTTAGATTATATAGTTAGTTACGCAGATTTTAAACTAGATGGCGTTGTTTTCTAAATCCAGGTACCAATGTACTATATATATAATGAAAAAAAAATTAACAGGAGCTGTTAGTGGTCTAACTAAAAATAATCTTTTTTTTTTTCATACATAATAAGTAAATTAATTTATATTCATATTATATATGTATTTTGAGATTTGTTCAAGATTTAAAGCAAAGCTTTTTGAGTTTGAAATTTCTTTTTACACGAGACATTTATTGCACCAATCTATCACGTAATTTAAAGACATAGTTTCCCCAAAAAGATATATAGAAAAATAATATAGTTTTCATTCCTAGTATCGTAATATCCACAATAATATTGTTATATTATTAACATAAATATTCATGTTAAATACAAAACCACTACGTTATATTTCTACTTCTTCAGCAGTACAGTCATTAATAAATAGAATAAAGAAAAAGAAGTTAAAAGTCGGGATTCATATAACAAAATTACGGAGACCAATCAATTTAAAATCGCTCCGTAGACAAGAAGCCAATTTATCATCTGTTCATCGTGCCGTGCTCTAGTGATGGGAGGTATATCGATGAATCTATCGATATATATATCGATGTTTTGTTATAACATCTGATGTATATTTTAGATTAAAAACTTTAATTTCTTATGTCTTAAGTGTGTTTTATATTAGGGATTAAAATAAGAGTTTTCATCTTGGATTCGGATTCCCATAATTGTAATGAAAAGTGAATTCATAGTTAAAATAACGAAAGCTACGTAAATTATAAAGTAATATAGGGGAGAATTTTTAAGTTTGATTTTTTTAAGAATATATGTGTATGTGTATTTTCAATAAAAAGTTTTTATCTAGTGACATTTCTAACGTCTAGTTTAGATAAACACTGAAAATTTTAAGCCATTTAAATCAATACGTCTTATTAAAAGAGAACTTAAAGTATCGATATTATAATTCCATCACTATTGATGCAGTGTTTGAGGAGCTCACCGCAAACATATTACAGCTTGAATACTGTTTGCTAAACTCACAGCGATCACCGACTGAATTACTTTACCAATTCAAATTATATCGACTTTTACTTACCTCATACGAAATGTGATTTAAATAGCATTCTGAACTATTATCAACATTAGATGTTATATTGCCTTAAAATAGACAAAAATAGTGTTTATTAAATAGTGTTTTAATCGGTTTCTATATGATAAATAATTTAGATGAAAATTGTACTGATCAAACATAAGTTTTTTGCTTCAATTGTCCAATAAATTTGTCAAACTCAAGCAAAATTTCTCTAATACAATTTTTTATACAGAAAGAGATTTTATTTCGTGTCAAGAGTTCGTATAGGTGGAAAGAAAAAAAATAAACGCATTGTCTCTACGTCAATAGTAATTTGAGATGAAAGTAGAATGGGTCAATGTGCGGGGGTGAAAAATATTTTGACATCTGTCACTCTGACATGTGACACGTGATCAGCTGTCAATAAGACTGAATGTAGGAAAGTTAGTCTAATTTACGTTCTAAAATATTATTTTAGACCAAATGATGAATTTGTTTTAGAAGTCTAGATATTATAGATTATATTATAGGTATATAAGAAGTCGAAGTCGTGATGGCCTAGTGGTTAAAAGCTACCTCTCATGTATGAGCGCGGGTTCTATGCTGGCAAGTACCGATGTGATTTTTCCGAGTCATATGTACTTTTTAAGAGTATTTAGCACAATGACAGACGGTGAAGGAAAACATCGTGAGGAAACCTGGACTTATAATATCAAATTATAAGTTTGAAATCGCCAATTCATCTTGCAAGCGTGGTGATTAATGCTCAAACCTTATCCATATGAGAAGAGGCCTTGCTCAGCAGTAGGCTCTGATAGGATGATGATGATGATGATGTAAGCAGTGAATTATTTTAATCACTTATAAAATTAATACAAGCTTCTCAAATGTGTGTTATTTTCGTATGATAGTCTATTTTAAGTAATACAGTAAGAAATAAGGACCGATATAAATTCACAATAATTGTAAAAGTAGCATAAAAACTAGTCAATGAATTATGTATAAAAATACTCTTCATAATATTTCAAGTTTATAAGTCTATTTGTAGATTTAAACTTATACATAATACTACATTTTAGTTGGAACAAATAGATATTAAAAAATATATGAAGTACGTACAAAAGGAAATAATAATTCTTGCTCCATCTATAATATAAATTGTATTTATAAGATTATAGGCAAGACCTTAAACGTTTTTAAGTATAATTTGCATAAGTGGGTTATCTTTGCGTAAAAAAAATTAAGTTACTTTACAGTATGACATCTGTACAGAGAGATATCGATTTATAATCAATATTAGATCCAAATTAATTGATCAATAGTATAATATAAAAGTCATTATGTTTGACATTTCCTTACTATACACACATCGAGGAATCCAAAAAATACAAAAATTCAGGAATTCAATACACACATTGAGGAATCTTCACGGGAAAATGTATTACACGTGTGTGTGTAAGTCAGTCATGCAAATGTGTGATGCATATTATAAACAATTTAATGAATTTAATACACTTTATATAACAATATCATCATGAATATCTTCTCTATATAAACTACGACTGTGTTAAACACCAGGTTCATAAGTTGACACTGCACTCTTTAAAAGGTATACAAAGTTTTCGCTTCACGCATTATCATTACGGTGTCATTTATTGAAAAGAAATTAAAGTCATCTATAGGAAAATAAGTATATTATTATTCTCACTCAAACTTATATAACAAAAAAATATATAAGAAAATGTTTTAAACATTTTTGGTATTCCTAAAATTTGTCTTATAAAGCATTTAAAAAATGCATCACTTTGGGTAACACAAAATAGGAGACGAAACTAAGTTTAGCTGTAATTATTTACGTCTAAATAAATATAAAACAATGATTATTAATAATAATTAAGCCACAAGATCAAAGCGGGCTTGCAGAAACAAAACTCAAATAAAAATCAAACAATGCTTTTCCCGAGAGATGTGTTTGATGTTTGGGCCACGTAATGGCATACAATGGGGAATGTAATGCCATGAATAATTGACCCATGGGATCTGTGTTTGTGCTATGGTAATAGATAAACATGTTTATAAGATTATTAGCGGTCGCAGATGCGCCACAGTTTTTGGGGCTATAATGATTGATAGGTATTGTCCATAGAGGGTTTATTTTCGTGGTTTTTGATTACCGGTTTATGGATTTTTAATGTAATTTAAGTGGCTTAACGATATTATGTTACCAATAATACGTAAATATATTTTTTGATGTAATAATTTTGCAAGAAATGTTATAGAAACAAAGCTATAGGGGAGCGGGGGGCACGTTGTTACAATTTTTAGATAATTGTTAATATCACAAAAGCTATCAAATAATGTATACATTTAATTGCTTTTACCATTAGTGTGACTATTCAGCTAGTAGACAAGAATTGGAAAAATATTAAAATTTACGTAATTTTTCTCAAAATAGAGAATTAATGAAATAAGTCGATTGCAACAACTTACCCCTGACTTGGGGTTAGTTGTTACAGCTTCGGGGCACGATGTTACAGTAAGTAAATAAACAAAATGAACAATAATAAATCATTTATTTTTATTATTTCAAAACGTTATGAATAAAAAAAACTATTTTGATCAGTCTTATAACATTTAGGAGCAATTATAATATCTATATCGTAATTTTCCAACTTTTTAACAGTAATAATCACATAACTTTGGCAGGAACTCTCTTAAATCTTATATAAAACACTTTTTCATTACTGAATTAGAAAACTTCGTCAGTAAATACCAACATGTAATAAATTATTTATACTTTTTTAACGTGGCACTTCAGTCAAACTAAAATCTAACATTTTCAAGACACTTATATTGCAATAAAATTTATAGTTACGTATACAATACTGAATAAACAGTTTTGTTTGGTCTTGGCCAGTTTTTCTTCATATTCTTTTTGTAACGAGTCTTTTTCAGGTGTGTCGGTTAATACATCGGACTTACGTTTACGACGGTTATGGACGGATTGTTTTCGAGCCTCTGCCTTGGGAAAGGACCTTATCTTTGAAGGCGAAAAATTTTCAAATGTACTTTGTATACCAGATGGACCTGGTATCGCTAATTCAAATTTATTTTTAAAACTTGACGAATCTGCATTTTAAAGTACAGCACATCGTCTAATTTTTAAGTACAGCGCAGTAATTTCTAAATGATAGTCAATGAGATGAACGGTAATACAAGATCTGATGCAAGTTGTTACATGTAACAACCTACCCCGAAAAACTGTAACAACCTGCCCCATGGTGTGTTTTTTAATTAAAATTAAAGCCGCCAGTAATCGATATCAATAGCAGAATAAAACGCTATTACAAATTAAAACTCGATACATTATGAACGTTCGAGATGAAAAGAATTTAGAGAATAACAAATGTAGACAGCAGGAATCAAAAATTTCGTAACAGATTTTGTTACGAACTTGATTGAAATCGAGACACGTGTATATAACCTAACAGTTAGCCGCTTCTCGGGTCCCTGATTGTTTTTTTGCAACGCACGATGTTATAAGAAAACAAATGAGTCCACTTACGTCTACCAAAGAGTTGAAAATCCCAGTAAAAAATGCGTGTAACTTCTTACCCCTGTAACAACGTGCCCCCCGCTCCCCTACTGATATGCGTTTTACTTCGTCTAATTATATGATGTCTAGACTTGAATTACAATTTACCATTAAATTTTAAAGATTCGTTAAATATACTAAAACAATGTATTATTGGTATTCCATTTATAAGAACTGAGTTTTAGATACTATATAAAAAAAATTCATTACATAGTTAATAATTTGGTAATTACGAAAGTAATACGGACATTAGATAAATATATAGATATTCCTAACAGATAGGGGTCCCTTAAACCTACACCTGGGTCGCAAATCCCAGTCACTGTTGAAGCTCCTCTCACTACAACGATTGACCCGGCACCCGCACTGTGAATACATTGAATGATGAGAGGTTTCGTCTATCTATATATTGTAAATAAAGATTGTAATTTCGTATAATAAATAAAATAGAATAATACATAATTACAGAAACATTTATATATTGTTAATACCTGTACCTTACTAGCAAAACCAGTAAGAACAAATTTATATCAAGAATGCATATCATAAAGAATTTAACTTACAAGATAACTTTGAATAGATAAAAGTTATACATAAATATACTTGTATATTGCTTACAACCAGACCAGCCATTAATGTATATGTAATTTAAATCCTTTTACATTATAATATAGAATATATGAAAACCTTTTTAGTCGATCCATACATAATATGTCACGACTTTGTCGTGATGTCATTAGTGTGTCCATTAAAATTGAAACGACTAAGCTATTAGTCGATAATGAAAAAAATATATATTTATTTAGAATATATTATATAGGAATTATAATACAATAGTTGTTTTTTTCAATATATTTGAATTATATTGTTCCGATTATATCTTCTACTTGGCAATTTCACAGCTTTAGCCAGGGTCTGCTTTACATGTTGTGAATAGTTTTGGCTTTTGTTTTTACGACCGGCCGCCTGCCTGACATCAACCCTCTTTGGGAATGTATTAATCACCACGCTTGCTCAAGACGTGTTGGTGATTTCTAATTTATAATTGTGAAATTATAAGTCCAGGTTTCCTCACGATGTTTTCTTTCACAATCTGTCAGTGGTGTCTAAATACTATCAGAAAGTACATATGACTCGGAAAAATTATACTGGTACTTGCCAGGATCGAACCCGCGCCCTCATGCACTAGAGGCGGGCCTTTACTAGGCCACCACTGACTTTATTGTTCCGATTATATATTCATTTTTAAAACGTTAAGAATCTTTATATATTTTTATCATAAGAATAAATAAAATGATACTACATTTATAAATCAATCCACATGCTATTAAGTATTCTGAGAGCCTGTGGTATGACCCTAAGATCTCATTAAATCAGGGTAAAGTTTAGCGTGACGCTCGCTCGTGAGGAAACTTACGAGATTTGTGTGGTTTCACTTCGTTAAGCATTTTCTTTACCTTATTCCTTGCTTAGAATGTTCAACGTAAATAAATATATACGTAATATTAGATATACATATAAATTTTCCTCCAGAATTCATTTTAATTCGTTACTGTTTTAAAATATCCTTCAACACGTTTTCTATACCTAGTTAAAGTTATTTTTTGTATAAGTTATATCCATATTTTTCGTTCACATTCATCCCTATAATAAAACATTGATGATGTATTCGTTTTTTACTACTACACTACACATTTTGACCTAATATTTAAGACATTCGTGAGTATTTTTTTAAATAAAAACTAATGTGTATTTTCAAATTTTACTACGAGATTTTTATTATTTTAACTATATACTCACGATCATAAGCCTACAACAAGAGTTACTTATAAAATACGCGTAATTAAATCCGAAAATAATTATTTTTACTTCCATATAATGTTAACGAAATTGAAAAGAAATCCTGATTTAGAAGAACTATTCGTATACCAATGATAGAACTTTTACCAGAATAAACGTACATTTACTGTGGGGTTGTATCTCAGCTAAAACAATTGCATTGCGTGATCCTCACTCATGAGCGTAGAGATTTCTAAATGCTCCAGCGATTCTGACTTCTCCCTAGAGATTTCCTGCATCAAGGGTCCGTATATAGTTGATAGTTTTGATGTACCGTACACTGAATAATATATACGTACATTTGTCCAAAATTATGAATGTCTTATAATAATGGAAGGATTATATATTTGAATAAATTGATTTCTTATCAGAAAAATAAATAAAAATCTCGTGTTTAAAATATGGACACGATAGTTTAGTTAGTAAAGAGATTGCGATACAATATATCGGAGTTTTAGATTCGAATCTGCGGGCTTAGATTTTCTATTAGATTTTTTTAATTTATATGAAATGCTTTAGTATATAAGTGTAATTTAATTGTCAATAGGATGCATTTGGTGAAGGTGGATGGCCTTTAGAGTTCAGAGCGGCTGTCGCTAGATTATTATCACAACATGCACCGAATGAAAAGGAGGCGCCTCGTACGACTGCGTTACGTACGTATATATAAAAGAAAGTCGTGTTAGTTACACTATTTATAAATCAAGAACGACTGTACTTGTTTGGATGAAGATTATCGGATAGATAGATTAAAACAATGCAAAGATATGGCATAATTTTTATTCTATTGAAAAAGAAAAAACATTGTTGATTAAATCCGAAATATTCTTATTGACTGCATTTAAAGAACTAGTATATATTTGTTACGAATTATATGCAACTGAAGAAATAATTCTATTTTAAAAAAAATTTCAAAATAAATTTACGATTAATAATTTCATTGAACTACAACTGCTTACAATAACCTTTTATCTTCATTATATAATATGTAACTGAATTGTGAATACATAATATAAAAAAATCAGTAGCTTATTAATAGAAATTGCTTTACGTCGAAAGAAATTATGTTACTTTAGTATAAATTGTGTATAAATATTAAGGTAATTTTAATTCATTAACTAGGTCTCAGCAATCAAAGACTGGATCAGAAATTATCGGAGACAATGGTACTGGATTTGATCGTACTCGTCGGATTCGTCGTAGTCAATAATCCTCAGTTACAGGTGAGTTATAACTGTATATAACTCGTCTGTTTACAGTTAATATGTATTTTTAGTAGGATGTAATGTCTAAATTAATGTTAATATTGACCTATACGATGCAGGTGTAGCCCGCATGAGAAAAACGGTTGGCTATCAAGATGTTAAACCGTCGATATTGTTATTACATACTATACTAAACGAATATTATGTATTTATAGAGTGTGAAAGAGATAGATAAGGAGGAAAAGAGATGGATATAGTCATTTAAGGAGATTGGAATAGTATATAATATTAAATATTTTTCAAAAAAAAAATTGCCACATACTTTTTTTTATATACATATATGTACATCTATTAATTATCCGATATGTACTTTATTTTATATGTTTTTAAAGCATTTTTTTTTGCAAATGTTTTAAATTTCTAAGCATATTTCTCTCGTATAAACGGCAGCAACATTGTTTCTACATGAATAATTAATAAAAGTTCCCACAGTCACAGGTGTTGTAAGACCGTGGGGTCTCTCAAGGAAGTGTTTTAGAGCCATCGTCGTTCCTTACACACAAAAGGGACTGACCATTACTATGAATAATTAATTCTAACAAGCAACTTGTAACACATGTGTTTTGTACATGATAATGTCTGATTAGAAATTTCTTTTGAGGATAGGACGTGTTTTTATGTTTGTATGGGCAATAAAAAAGTAATTTCCTATATAGGGCTAATTTGGTTTGAATGTTTGATATAAATATATGGATTTTCGTTTCTTAGGAGACGATATGCGATGGTTGGGGTGTGCTGAAAACATTGTGTACTCTGCCAGCGAATTGGTTGGTGTCGGAGACAAGAAGTCATGCTCTATTGCCGACTCTCATAGCTCTGTCCGAGAGAAAAGAAACTGCTGCGATTATAGCATCTGAATTAAATATGAAGGTAGGTTGATATATTAAACACGCAAAAATAATCTCTATTTTATGAGATATAGAACTGAAAATTCATTGATACCAGCTAAAATCAAACTTTTTGCCTATTTTATAATCCAATTTCTTCATCAATCAAGCTATAATTCTTTAACTTGTTTTAATTGATTATTCTATATCGAATTTGAGTCTTATTACAATGACATTTAAGTTGATTTTTATTTATTTTTATTTAGATCTTGGATGACTTCATGAAGAATCCACAGGCGCAGGAAATAAAACTTATACAAGTCATAAAACAGACGAAAAATAAAAAAGGAAAGAAGTAGATTAAATCTGCTCAAAGGATTGATTTCACCGGATTTGACAAATAATTTCGATTATTTTAACGTATTTTACGAAAATAAATGATGTAATACACAAATTTAATTGTAATATGCGGCGTTTTAAATTATTTATTTGATTTTAAAAACATTGATGGTAGTAATCGTATGCCAAATAGTAATTAGATATCTTTCGATCATATTTCTTCGAATATACAATGTTTAGAAATATAAAAATCAACTTCTTCATATTATATGTATAGATGAAATTTTATTTTAGGAAACATATTTATTTTAAAACATATTAATATATTCATTTATTATATCGAAATTTTTTATATTATATCTTAAACTATGATCGGTCTTGGGATTTCGATCAATCTTTTTATTCGATCGAATCCACTTCACATAAAACACTTAAAGCTTGAAGAAAATGCCTAAAATTTAAGATAACAATAACCCATATCCAAGAGAGTATATTTACTTAAACCAATACGATTTGAGAAATACAAAAACCTTACTAAGTTACACTTAGTAATTGTACATGAAAGATTTACGCATTCTATAAGCCAAAAATATTAAAAACAGATATGGCATCCTAAAATGACCAAAACTCGAGGGACATCTAAATTGAAGGAAACATCAACACTTTATAATAAAAATAATAATATTCGTTAAAAAACATATAATCAGTAATTTAAAGTAGTTCGCTTGATAACAAAAGGAGTGAACTATGGTTATTGGCAAACTACGGTTTCTTATGATTTCAAAATATAAAACTATCTTAAAACTCCTACTATATATATATCTTCTTCTACCTGGAAATTTCCCAGCTTTAGCCAGGGTCTGCCTTACATGTTGTGAATAGTTTTGGCTAATTGTTTTTACGACCGGCCGCCTGCCTGACATCAATCCTCTTTGGGAATATATATGTATATTCATATGGCTGTATTCAAATAGATAAAACTCTAAGCCTGAACCATAGTTCACGCCTCAAACCGCATAGTTATTAGTTATTGTGATAGCTGAGAATTGATGTTATGTGTTGTATCAATAAACGAAGATTTAAATACTTCGTATGAAAAAAAAAAAACATTCTTATTATCCAATCTAAGTGTTTTTCATTCCATTTCTGCAATGAAATAGTTGCTTTAACAAGTATCGATCCCCTACTTAGTATTTAAGTCTTCGTAATAGACTATTTACTCACAATCTAGATAGCGTTCTAGTGTAACCATGAACAGTGTTGTATGTTATTCTGTAGTCGTCTTACACTTTTTGATGTCTCTATACATATTTTTCTATGGATGTTATATCATATACGATACATTTATCGGATCTTTGTAAAGTTTTCACTATTGTATTATAATTTAATTTATATTTCCGAGTCGCACAAATAATGTATCCTCTTATTTGTTTTGGAGACTTTAATATTAATTTCTTTCGATCATAAATCGTTTGTTTCTGTTATTATGTTAATCTGGTTGTTATTTTTATGTGATTATATTAATTAAACTTGGTCCGTTATTAGAGTTAGTATACAATGTGTGTGGTGAAGGTGTGCCTTGGGGAACACCAGTCGATTTTATCTTAAAAGCAGGATATATAAGGTAGGTATTATTATAGGTATGCTGTGATAACTAAAAGGGAATAAGATTTGTTCGGATAAAAGGAAAATGGATGCTTTGTAAACGTTGATACGTATGGACTGATGATGCACACATTCGCAAGCTTTACTAATGGTGGCAATTTTTTTTATTTAACTAATATCAATATATATATGTTTTTTTTTTTTGCTTTTGTGATAATCATTATTTCATTTGAACTGTGATTTTATATGTTAGTATGTATGGATATATTTAATTTCGTTTAGTTTCTAGCGACCCGACGTGTGGTATGTATTTTATCTGTGATTAATTTCTTAGCGTTTAATAACTTCGCGTATAACTTTAACTTTCATTGTGTATTTTTGTGGAAATTATGAATAAACGTTTGTGTAACAATAATTATTAGTTTTATTTTATATCCCAACTTTTGATATCAATTATATTGGAAGAAAGCTAGGTTTACTAGAATCAAAATATCATCGAAATATGATATTGAAATAAAAGCATTATACCAAAAGATGTCATTAGGTCGATCTGATTTCGTGAGATCTATACAGCATCTCAATTAAGTCGGCATTCCTTTGATCAGACAAATTTACGCGCCAACACTAAGTGCCGTTTGAAATATGGCGACGGCGATTTATACAGGATGATGATAAATATGATATATTTACTATAGTTTACATTACATACAAGGAGTTACCAATTCATTGTATTATTTTTTAGTAATTTTAGACAGTACTTATATTAGATATATAAAATGAATTATTATTTTATTCTAAAAATACGTTTTTAAAATACTTAAAAGTAGGCCTAAAGAATATTAAATTTATAACTGTTTCATACTAATGATTTTTTCAATATATAAATGTTTAGATTGTCTGTCTGCAAAGAACAATTAGCCCTATATCATTTCCGTACAGTCAGACAGACGTTGTATTTTTCTATGATATATATTGATTTAAAGATGATATTAGTTTTTGAAACATCCTGTATAAAGCCGCGGAAGTGGTAGCTAAGAGCCGACGGAACTTAATGCTCCAATACTGTATTTATATCCTCACTCTGAGTGTAATTTATGTCTCGCTACGACCCATTACGATTTTTAATATTGAATGTGACTGGAGAAATGAAAATTACATTCAGCTATTAATAACAGCGGCGTACGACATGGATTTACAACGCATAAATCTTAAACACATTAAAAAATGCATTAATACAGTGTTAAGAGGTTTTTTTATAATTCGCATTAAGTTTATATAGCCTGTCAATAATTATAAATTTTTGATTGTAATATTTCAGTTTGAATGATGATACGTATTTACGAAATACGTTAAAATTTTAAAAGCATTTCCTCAATATTCAAACTCCATTAGAGAACATAAATCCGACCGACATCGGAAGTATTTTTCCATTCCATCGCTCTTGATGACTCCGCGGCCATTTTTCTTTAAAATGTTTTGTCATAGCCGTCATTGTTGTCTAGTGATGTGTGCCTAATACATTAATGTCGATTTTTCTTTATTCGATGGAAATGACTTAAGCATTATGCCTCATTATTTTCATTTGGTTAACCTTTTTATGAAATATGTTACCTTTCACAAATTGATTGCTTTTTATTACGACATTATATACTGTGAAACAATTCGTTCTATCAAATGTTTACACGATTCCTTTTGTTTTCTATCAATAAAAAAAATATTTCCATTATTATATATGAAATAATAAAATGTCCGCCAATAAATAAATAACAATATTTACGAGTGGTTTTCTTTGGTTGGTAATTGTATAGTAATTTTATTTCAGTAATATATTTCAACTCACGCGCGGATAACGACCTTGGACGGGTTTATGCTGAACAGAAGCAGCATTAAATATTTCGACGAAAATTTTTGGTTCAAAAGTGCATTGCATACATTTGTACATTCGAATTTTTATTATTATATATTTTTTAATAAGACAAAAATAATACAAATATAAAAACTATCACATACTAAACATGTTTCTAGTAAATATAGTATAATGTCGTATAATTTAAATATGTTTTTTAATTAAAATAGATGAATATAATTGTTCTGTTTCACTCTCGCATAACACAGTCCACTAAAAGCTTCTCAACACACCGTCTTCAATGTTAAGTTTATTTATACCGTCTGTACCTTCACGTGCTAGTTAACTCACCCTACTCTGTTTATTATTTTATGAATATAAATATTTAAATATAAAATAGCATATATTATTTATTATTCAAAATCTATGAGTATATTTTGTTTTTATGTATATTTTTTCTTGGTTATTGAGTAAATTATAGCAATTTTATTGATAAGGTGAAGTTAATTTTTAATCAATTTCTTTGTAATAGCTTATTGATGCGATCTTCTTCGCTTTGTTATATATTGATATATTTTTTGTATGTCCAAGAAAATACTCATCACTAAGTAACTGAATAATTAGTTCTTATACGAGTTACAATTTCTGAAAACTTTTAAAACCATACAAGTAATGCAAATATTGCATTACTTATATGAGCACCAAAGCCTTGTAATGAAATTTATAAAATTTTATTTAGAGGAATCCAGTGAGCATAAGAAAAGTTTGCATTTTCACACTATAAGTGTTTACCGTATCTCACTAAATAAACTAAGTTACTATTGTAATGTTACCCTAAAGAAATGAAAAATCCGTATGTAGTTACTTTTATTTTACTTATATACTACAAATAACTCGCACGTTATACGACATTTAAAATTGAAAGTTTAGGATAATAACTAATTTAATACATAAAAATAACAAATCACTACAATTAACATACAAGTAATGCTCACTTTGTCTTTTAAAATATTAGATATTAATACAATAAAAGAAATATATCGAAACGGTCAGCTTTACAAGAAAAAAAATTACCCCTACAATAGACCAGGTAACCAACTGATCAGATCCCTGATTTAAAGTAGATATAAACCTAAAAAGGTTCAACCAAATTGGTTCGTTATCTACCCTTCAATCTGGCCATATGTGGTGATAGCATCTACAGTAATTAGATGATACAGTAATAAAATCATTGCTGCGTCATGGGGTATTATCTTTTATCTTTTCATTGTTCCTATAGAGTTAATAAATTTGCAATATGTCGGTGAAATTTAAATAAGAAAGTGTGTAGTGACATTTTTGTTACGTCAAAAATATTCTATGACATTGACGTTTCTTTTTTATACATATAAGTTATACGAACCATAGCACGACATTGTTATGCCAAAATATTTGAACATATATTTATATTGTCTTATATGCAAAACAAATGTTAAATTAATGAAATTTTACTTATTAATTCTTTAAGTTGTTATAGTCACGAGGTATACTGAGTGGTAACAGTTTTTTAAATTATAATATTAACGTAAG